GATTGTTTTTATATTTTTCACCATCGGAGATGATGACCGGGCAGCCAAGCAGTTTTTGATTTTCGATTGACCTAAAGAAAACTCATTCAGATATGACGTGAGCTTTTCAAGCTAAATGGCGCTGTTTGTTTTTCACTACTTAACTATGGATGTTCAGTATGTTTATACTAAAAAACGACATCAACTTGGACAGCCGACGAACTTCACTGATCGGCCGACGGACATCCTCGCTGAAATTGTTCCCAATTTGAAACTATTAGAAAACTTTATCTATCGAAACCCGGTTGATACCGCTGTACAGAATTCCATTCAATTATCTGAACATGAAGTATCTCGTTGAACGTTGAGAGAAAAAGCGAATTCATCTGAAAGCAATTTTTAGGTCAATACTGTTTGTTACAATACGGAGTCGAAAGGTATCAATCACACGGAAGGTGGCTGGCCAAAAGATGTCAATATGCAGGAACAAGATCAAGTGAATCGTTTTCGGAAGAAAATTGAAAAGGATGAGTCGTATTTAACTTCACTATCTTATCTAATTCAAGTGATGATCATCTCTAGTGAATCAAATCTTCCGTGAAGTGTCGAGTTCTTTTTAGAGTCTTGAAATCGATCTGCAACAAAATAATGCAATTGATATTCACCAGACTTACTTTCAAAATAAACTTAGCAATTACGACGAACCGTTCAATGTAAAGACAGTCAATTTGTACAATCATCAGTCGAATCTCAATCAGATGGTGAATCATATGTCTTGGCAACCGGATGGACAACGAAAAATTGCTGTTTCGTATTCGAATCTCGAGTTTAATCCTATCCAAACAAATCCAATCGATTCACTTGTTTGGGATATTGGTAAATTTACTCTCTGCAATATAAGAACTCGAAATTAGTTTTCATAGAAGACGCCAATAAGCCGGAAACTATTCTAAAATCCAACTCATCATTGACTACAGTTGAGTTCAATCCTAAAGATACAAATCAAATCCTAGCTGGCTGTACGAATGGTCAAGTCTGTAAGTTGAGTCTAGGATTCGCTCGACTTCTCACTTTTTTCCGTAATAAGGTATATTCGATCTACGTAAGGGATCAAGTCCTGCCGAACAATCACTACGTGAATTCAGTCATCATGCTACCGTCCGAAACGCCTTGTGGTTACAATCGAAAACTGGTACTGAGTTTTTCTCAGCTTCAGTCGATGGAAAAATCTATTGGTGGGACACGAAGAAACTAACCGAACCTGTTGATAAGCTTCTATTAGATGTAGAGAAAAAAGATCGCTCTCAATACGCATTAGCGATTACTAAACTGGAATATGATTTGAATATCGTAAGTTATCTTCTCGATCTTGCACGCATATCGGAGTGGAAAACTCTTTGTGTAGCCAACGAAATTTATGGTCGGGACAGAAACAGGTCGTATTGTTCTCTGTACACGAAAAGTCAAAGGTGACGCGGAAAGAATCAATGTCGTCTATCCGGGACATGACGGACCAATCTATTCGATTCAACGGCATCCTTTTTTCAACAAGATATTCTTATCTGTTGGTGATTGGACTCAGCGTATTTGGTCTGAAGAAATACGTGACGATTATATTCTTTGTACGAAGTTAGTTACAGCTTATTTAAAGGAATGCATTATTAAAAAACTGCATTTAGACCAGGTAAACACTATTTAACCGATGCTCAATGGTCTCCGGGAAGGCCGGGTGTTCTTATTTCATCGAATACCGAAGGTAGAGAAATACACACTGTCATGCTGTATCTTCATATCATAATTTCAGGATCTATTCAAATCTGGGATTTACTATTCAAACAAGACGAACCCACACTGATAGTGAAAGTAAATGGGCAATTACATTTATCGAAATTTCTATTTGTTTCATTATCAAAATGTCATAGTTGAGTGAAGAAGCCATCTCTTGTTTACGTTTCCAAGATCAAGGTCGTCATCTTGCATGCGGTACGAAACATGGTGACGTCATATTGATCGAACTATCTGATAGTCTTTGCATGCTTGATCGAAACGAAAAACATCTCGTCGCTTCTGTAACACCACACACACACGATTTCGTTATTTTTATATCAATCTTCTCGCTCACCTAGATGTTCGATCGAGAAACACGACGAACTCGTTTACTCGAAACGCGATCGCGTCTAAAATATGAACAACAAACTCGAACGATGCCTAGTCGTTCAACTGAAGAAGTCGAACACGAACTCAAACAATCCACTGATCAGTTCTGGTCGATCATCAACAAAGAAAAAGAAAGACTCATCGAATATTCAAAAGAATTCACACACAAAACCTGATAGAACGATATATAACTTTTCCGGCGTAATATCTGAATGAATTCTTATACAATCAATAATAGAGGACATCTAAGGACGATCCATATTCGTATAGAAAGTGACTATAGGGGGGATATTTTAGAGAAAGAAATACAGAAGATGAGTT